CTCCTGTCCATGACAAATAAATAGAAACTGAAAGGAATGGCCTGGATACTTCAGTGGTACCCACAATGTCTTCACCCCATGAAAGTATCACACCGGCTTGTTATAGTACTATGCAGCTTATTTACCTTCGTCAGAGCACCAGTGGACATCCCATGCCACACGAGGCAGCAGTACATGGAATGAGGCATCATGGGACAATATCCATCCCTCAGGTTGGCATCCAGAAACACCCTCCTTGTGTTGGTGGATTCCGGAAGAGGAACCAACAGAATTTTTAGAACTGTCTTCTGCAATCTGAGGGTCATAAGATACAGATCATCCACACACAACGTCTATCACACAGGCAGTAGACTCCATTTCCAGATACACGTTTTACCTGGATTTCAGGATCTCCCAGGCTAGAGAGGTGGACGAGGCGTCATCCACCAACTTCCACCACCTTCGGGTTTAAACACAGAATCAATTTTGTTATTTTCAAAAGAAGAAAAAAGGTTTTCCTAGTTGCTGAAAATCAATTTCCTAAAGAGCTTCCAAATAATGTAAAATGATGAGCAGACACATTATGTATCTCCAAGGAGAGAGCACATGTAAGGCACACGCAAGGCACACGCAAGCACACGTAGGGCAGAGTCAGCAGTCATGTTTTCTTGTTCCTCCATTAAATTCTAAGGTGCTGCTCCCACCCCTTCAGGGAAGGTCAGGTCAGTCCTGCGCTTTACTAACCTATAACTAGCAGAAAGATGCCCAAATGTTATCGGAGACAGAAAAGTTAAAAGACAGAAAATCGGGCAAACTCAGCCGGAACATTTTGGTCTCTTTTCTGTGCTGTCCTTTTATGTTTCTGTAGGAGGATCATCAATACAAGTTCATAAAACAAATCTCCGGAGCCGAGCTTTTGCAGCACATGAGACGCTTACAACCTGGCTCTAAAAAAACAGCAAAAACAGCAAAAACATGACTTCCTGTGAATAGTTCTGCAAATATAACCATATCTCATGTGCCCAACCCACCAGGGACCCAACCTTTCAGGGACCAAACCCTCCATGTGCCCAACCCTCCAGGGACCCAGCCCTCCAGGGACCCAACCCTTCAGGGACCCAGCCCTCCAGGGACCCAGCCCTCCAGGGACCCAACCTTTCAGGGACCAAACCCTCCATGTGCCCAACCCTCCAGGGACCCAGCCCTCCAGGGGCCCAGCCCTCCAGGGACCCAACCCTCCAGGGACCCAACCCTCCAGGGACCCAACCCTCCAGGGACCCAGCCCTCCAGGGACCCAACCCTTCAGGAACCCAACCTCCAGGGACCCAGCCCTCCAGGGACCCAACCCTCCATGTGCCCAACCCTCCAGGAACCCAACCCCCATGTGCCCAACCCTCCAGGGACCCAACCCTCCAGGAACCCAGCCCTCCACAGACTCAACCCTTCACGGACCCAACCCTCCACGGGCCCAACCCTCCACGGGCCCAACCCTTCCCCACGGGCCCAACCCTCCACGTGCCCAACGCTCCACGGACCCAACCCTCCACGGACCCAACCCTCCACGGACCCAACCCTCCACGGACCCAACGCTCCACGGACCCAACGCTCCACGGACCCAACCCTCCACGGACCCAACGCTCCACGGACCCAACCCTCCACGGACCCAACCCTCCATGGACCCAACCCTCCACGGACCCAACGCTTCACGGACCCAACCCTCCACAGACTCAACCCTCCACGGACCCAACGCTCCACGGACCCAACCCTTCAGGGACCCAACCCTCCAGGGACCCAACCCTCCAGGCACCCAACCCTCCAGGGACCCAACCCTCCAGGGGACCCAACGCTTGGACCTGTATTGCAAGGACTAAGCTGAAAGCAGCGGCTTACTATGTTTAAACCCCAATTTCCAGTTGTGTTCTCCCAATACTCTCCTTCATGTTTCAATGTCCTGTATGTGACGAGTCTTCTCACTAATCTATTAGAAGTAGACGTGCAATTCGTTTTACGAATCAAAAATTCTGATGAAATTTTCATTATTCGAAGACTCAAATATATCTGAATTTTCAGATCACAATAGTAATTTTAATGAATTCAAAATAAAGTTTCTGAATTCGAAAATGTATTCGAATTTTGAAAATGAATTCCAATTTAGAAAATGGAAATACAGTATATTGCCAAAAGTATTGGGCCCCACCCCCCAAATCATGTGATTTCAGGTGTTCCAATCCCCTCCATATCATGTGATTCAGGTGTTCCAATCCCCTCCATATCATGTGATTCAGGTGTTCCAATCCCCTCCATATCATGTGATTCAGGTGTTCCAATCCCCTCCATATCATGTGATTCAGGTGTTCCAATCCCCTCCATATCATGTAAATCAGGTGTTCCAATCCCCTCCATATCATGTGATTCAGGTGTTCCAATCCCCTCCATATCATGTGATTCAGGTGTTCCAATCCCCTCCAGTAAATCATGTGATTCAGGTGTTCCAATACCCTCCCAATCATGTGATTCAGTGTTCCAATCCCCTCCATATCATGTGATTCAGGTGTTCCAATCCCCTCCATATCATGTAAATCAGGTGTTCCAATCCCCTCCATATCATGTGATTCAGGTGTTCCAATACCCTCCCAATCATGTGATTCAGGTGTTCCAATCCCCTCCATATCATGTGATTCAGGTGTTCCAATCCCCTCCCAATCATGTGATTCAGGTGTTCCAATCCCCTCCCAATCATCTGATTCAGGTGTTCCAATCCCCTCCCAATCATCTGATTCAGGTGTTCCAATCCCCTCCATATCATGTAAATCAGGTGTTCTAATCCCCTCCATATCATGTGATTCAGGTGTTCCAATCCTCTCCATATCATGTGATTCAGGTACTCCCAATCCTCTCCATATCATGTGATTCAGGTGTTCCAATCCCCTCCATATCATGTGATTCAGGTGTTCCAATCCCCTCCATATCATGTGATTCAGGTGCTCCAATCCTCTCCATATCATGTGATTCAGGTGTTCCAATCCCCTCCATATCATGTGATTCAGGTGTTCCAATCCCCTCCATATCATGTGATTCAGGTGCTCCAATCCTCTCCATATCATGTGATTCAGGTGTTCCAATCCCTCCATATCATGTGATTCAGGTGTTCCAATCCCCTCCATATCATGTGATTCAGTGTGTTCCAATCCCCTCCATATCATGTGATTCAGGTGTTCCAATCCCCTCCATATCATGTGATTCAGGTGTTCCAATCCCCTCCATATCATGTGATTCAGGTGTTCCAATCCCCTCCATATCATGTGATTCAGGTGTTCCAATCCCCTCCCAATCATGTGATTCAGGTGTTCCAATTCCCCTCCCAATCATGTGATTCAGGTGTTCCAATCCCCTCCCAATCATGTGATTCAGGTGTTCCAATCCCCTCCCAATCATGTGATTCAGGTGTGTTCCAATCCCCTCCATATCATGTGATTTGGGTGTTCCAATCCCCTCCATATCATGTGATTCAGGTGCTCCAATCCCCTCCATATCATGTGATTCAGGTGCTCCAATCCCCTCCATATCATGTGATTCAGGGGTTCCAATCCCCTCCATATCATGTGATTTGGGTGTTCCAATCCCCTCCATGGACACGGGGTGTATACAGTCAAGCCCCTAGGCATGGCAGACTGCTTCTACAAACATGGGTGAAAGAATGGGTCGCTCTCAGGAGCTCAGTGACTCCAAGCGTGGTCCCGTGATAGGTGGCCACCTGGGCAATAAGTCCATCCGTGACATTTCCTGGCTACTAAATATTCCACGCTCAAAACTGTTAGTGGGATTATAACAAAGTGGAAGCCACTGGGAACAACAGCCACTCAGCCACCAAGTGGTAGGCCACGTCACATGACAGGGCGGGGTCATGCTGAAGCGCACAGTGCGCAGAAGTCACCAACTGTCTGCAGAGTCAATAGCTAAAGACCTCCAAACTTGGTGTGGCCTTCAGATGATCCCAACAACAGTGCGTAGAGAGCTTCATGGAATGGGTTTCCATGGCCGAGCAGCTGCATCCAAGCCTTCCATCACCAAGTGCAATGCAAAGCGTCGGATGCCGTGGTGTAAAGCACGCTGCCACTGGACTCTAGAGCAATGGAGACGTGTTCTCTGGGGGTGACCAATCACACTTCTCTGTCTGGCCATCCGATGGACGTGTCTGGGTTTTGGTGGTGACCAGGAGAACGGTACTTGCCTGACTGCATTGTGCCAAGTGTAAAGTTTGGTGGAGGGGGGATTATGGTGTGGGGGTGTTTTTCAGGGGTTGGGTTGGCCCCCTAGTTCCAGTGAAGGGAACTCTTAAGGCGACTATTTTTGGACAATTTCATGCTCCCCACCTTTGTGGGAGGAGTTTGGGGCGGCCCCTTCCTGTTCCAACATGACTGCCCACCAGTGCACAAAGCAAGGTCCATAAAGGGGGGGGGGGACATGGAGGAGCCAGTTTGGGGTGGAGGAACTTGACTGTCCTGCACAGAGTCCTGACCTCAACCCCATAGAACACCTTTGGGATGAATTAGAGCGGAGACTGCGAGCCAGGCCCCCTCCCCCGAAATCAGTGCCTGACCTGACAAATGTGCTTCTGGAAGAATGGTCCAACCTTCCCATAGACACCCTCCTAAACCTTGTGGACGGCCTTCCCAGAAGAGTTGGAGCTGTTATAGGTGCAAAGGGCGGGGCCAACTCAATATTGAACCCTACGGACTAAGACTGGGGGGGTCATTAAAGGTCATGTGTGTGGAAAGGGCGGGGCCAACTCAATATTGAACCCTACGGACTAAGACTGGGAGGCCATTAAAGGTCATGTGCGTGGGAAGGGCGGGGCCAACTCAATATTGAACCCTACGGACTAAGACTGGGGGGCCATTACAGGTCATGTGTGTGGAAAGGGTGGGGCCCAACTCAATATTGAACCCTACGGACTAAGACTGGGGGGCCATTACAGGTCATGTGTGTGGAAAGGGCGGGGCCAACTCAATATTGAACCCTACGGACTAAGACTGGGGGGGCCATTAAAGGTCATGTGTGTGGGAAGGGCGGGGCCAACTCAATATTGAACCCTACGGACTAAGACTGGGGGCCATTAAAGGTCATGTGTGTGGGAAGGGCGGGGCCAACTCAATATTGAACCCTACGGACTAAGACTGGGGGGCCATTAAAGGTCATGTGCGTGCAAAGGGCGGGGCCAATACTTGAGGCGATATGGTGTATAATGCAATAAATACAGTAAGGTATAAAGTGAAATAAGAGGATTCCTGCTATATAGAATAGAATAGAACAAAATATAGCGGTTTCTCTGAAATGAAAAATGTCAGACTGATCTGAAAATAACTGATATACGGAAACGAATTCTAAAACAAATCAATCTGACAACAAATATGATGAAACCAAATTATTAACTTAACAAACAAAACCAAACTCAGCGAATGTCCTATTGGACGTCTCTAATCAGAAGCCGGACTTACAGTTGGTCCAGTTTGGCAAATGAATTGCTGAGAAATTCGTTTTATGGACTTTTCTAAAGATCCCACATTCAGAAAAAAAAGACGATCTCAGTGTTGTGCAGAAACCAACAACATGCAACGCAAATGAACAAAATGTCTTGTTAGACCAACGAGGTGAAATCTGGACAGTTACCAGTTAAACGGGAAGGTTTCTTCACAGTAAGAGCTGAGAATGTGGAATAGACTCCCTCCAGAGTTGGGTGTGGCCAATCAGTGGATTGCTGTAGGAAAGTCCTGGATTCTTTCTTGGATACACAGAATATAACTGGATAGAACATTTATAGGGAAAGGTGATCCGGGGAATATCCGATTATTGATCCCGGGAATATCCGATTATGATCACAGGAATATCCAAATATTGATATCCAGGGAATACCTAAATATTGATCCTGGGAATATCCGAATATTGATCCCCGGGAATATTTGACGATCCAACGGTGGACGGCGACCCTCACCAACAGTGGACGGCGACCCAACGGTGGACGGTGACCCAACGGTGGAGGGCGACCCAACGGGTGGAGGGCGAACCCAACGGTGGAGGGCGACCCAACGGTGGAGGGTGACCCAACGGTGGAGGGCGACCCAACGGTGGAAGGTGACCCAACAATGGAGGGCGACCCAACAATGGAGGGCGACCAAACAGTGGAAGGGACCCAACGGTGGAAGGCGACCCAACGGTGGAAGGCGACCCAACAATGGAGGGCAACCCAACAATGGAGGGCGACCCAACAATGGAGGGTGACCAAACGGTGGAAGGCGACCCAACAGTGGAAGGTCGACCCAACGGTGGAAGGAGACCCAACAGTGGAAGGAAGGAGACCCAACGGTGGAAGGAGACCCAACAGTAGAAGGAGACCCAACGGTGGAAGGCGACCCAACAGTAGAAGGAGACCCAATGGTGGAAGGAGACCCAACGGTGGAAGGCGACCCAACAGTAGAAGGAGACCCAACGGTGGAAGGCGACCCAACAGTAGAAGGAGACCCAAGGGTGGAAGGTGACCCATTCCTGTGGAGGTCCGCACTGGTATGCATACTATTCAATGTACTTGTAATTGTTAGGGGCCACAATACACAAAGCAAAGTTCTACAGAGTGACAATTATCTCCCAATATTTCCTGAGAAACAAACCTGAGCTGGTGCCACTTGGAGATGGGTTGGGGGTAAAATATTCCTCTTGGGCCACATTGTCTTCTATGTCCTAAAATAGGAAATATATATTTATTATTTATTTCAGGTACTTATATATCGCCATCAATGTACTCCACGCTTTACATCTATATTGTACAGTCACATCAGGCCCCCCCCCGAGGAGCATACAATCTAAGGTCCCTAACTTACATTCATATATACTAGGGCCAATTTAGACAGCATGTTTTTGCAGTGTGGGAGGAAACCGGAGTACTGGAGGAAACCCACACAGGCACAGGGAGACCATGCAAACTCCAGTCAGGTGGTGCCGTGGTTGGGATTCAAACCAATGACCCGAGTACTGCCAGGCAGAAGTGCTAACCGCTTAGCCACTGTGCTGCCCGTATATTGCCATAGGCGCATGCGCAGTCCGTCCAACGGCGGCCATTTTGCGCATGAGCAATTCGCTCCGGTCTCTGGCAAAATGGGGGCCATTTTAGACTATAAATAGAACACATTAGACATCAGGCTGCATGGCAACCCCCCAACTGAAGATGTACACGTGTACAAAATGCGTTTTGGAGGAGCCTGCGAGCCGTGACGTCATGCCGCCGCCAGATCGAGGAGGTCCGGTGGCCCTATTACGGACCAGCTGGTTACAGCTCATAGCAGCCTTGTGGTTGTCGTTTTTTACTGCTGCTGTTTACACACGGCTTCTGGTGTGTGCTGAGACACCGACATGTGTGGGGTACTGTCTATGCTGCTGTTTACACACGGCTTCTGGGTGTGTGCTGAGACACCGACATGTGTGGGGTACTGTCTATGCTGAGACACCGCTGTTTACACACGGCTTCTGGTGTGTGCTGAGACACCGACATGTGTGGGGTACTGTCTATGCTGCTGTTTACACACGGCTTCTGGTGTGTGCTGAGACACCGACATGTGTGGGGTACTGTCTATGTTACTGTTTACACACGGCTTCTGGTGTGTGCTGAGACACCGACATGTGTGGGGTACTGTCTATGCTGCTGTTTACACACGGCTTCTGGTGTGTGCTGAGACACCGACATGTGTGGGGTACTGTCTATGTTACTGTTTACACACGGCTTCAGGTGTGTGTGCTGAGACACCGACATGTGTGGGGTACTGTCTATGCTGCTTTTACCACACGGCTTCTGGTGTGTGCTGAGACACCGACATGTGTGGGGTACTGTCTATGCTGCTGTTCTATGCTGCTGTTTACGGCTTCAGGTGTGTTTCGATTACTGTCTAATGTTTACACAGTCTGGTGTGTGCTGAGACACGACATGTGTGGGGTATCTGTCTATACTGTTTACTCTTTACTGAGACACCGAATCTATGCTGCTGTTCATACCTTTCATTAAATGCTGAGTATCCGCCACTAGGGGCATCTCCATCTGTTACTCTTTACTGAGCACCCGAATCCCCCAGAGCTCCCCCTGGTGACCACCATACTGAAGAGGCTGCACCCGTGTCCTTAAAGGGGACCTCCTGGCTGAATATTCTACATGACATCCACCTATTCCGGGTCGATTCCATTCCTATGCTGAGAGGGACCCATTGGCAGACCTCCATTATACTATACACTGCGCATAACCATTGCGCATCAGGTGAGTGCGCACTATTACCTTGCCCATCACCCACCCTTTACAGGAGTCATGCACTGAGATGTGTGACGTCACACGGAGCTCTTCTACTATTCATGAACTTTTATCATATATATCTGTTCTATACTGAGGACTATATTATACTGAGGACTGTTCATATACTGAGGACTGTTCATA